GAAAATAACATGACAATGAAAAGTCAATACATAATAGTTATAACCATCAATGTTAATGGCCTCAATTCACCAATCAAAAGAAACAGGCAGAAGGATTAAGAAGAAAAATCCAACAATATGCTATATACAAGAAACACACCTAGTTCAAAAAGAAACTCATAGACTGAAAGTAAAAGGATGGAAAACAGTTCTCCATGCAACAGGATCCTGGAAAAAAGTCGGGGTAACTATCCTATTTGCAGACAAAACACATTTCAAACCAAAACTAACTAAGAGAGACAAAGAAGATCACTACATCCTTGTAAAGGGAACAATAGAAGAGGAAGAAATGACAATCATAAATATATATGCACCAAATACTAATGCCCCCAAGTATACAAAACAAATATTAATGGATATGAAAAATGAAATAAGCACCAATGCAATTGTAGTGGGGAACCTCAATACTCCACTGACACAAATAAACAGATGATCTAGACAAAAAATCAACAACAAAGTAACAAAACTGAACCAAGTCTTAGAACAAATGGACTAAGTAGATGTCTACAGAGATGTCCACAAAATCAGAATATACATTCTTTTTGGCTGCAAATGGGTCATTTTCCAAAATAAGACCACAAGCTAGCTCATAGAACATGCTTAAGTAAATGCAAAGGAATTGAAGTTATCCAATTTATATTATCAGAAGATAGTGCAATTAAACTGGAGGTCAATAGCATAAGAAACCGCAAGAACTTCACAAACACGTGGAAATTAAATAACACCCTGCTGAACAACCATTGGGTCACAGAGGAAATTAAAAAAGAGATTAGACAGCTTCTACAATTAAATGATAATACTAATACAAAGTAAAGTAATCTATGGTACACAATGAAAGCAGTTCTACAAGGGAAATTCATAGCAGTAAATGCCCATACTAGGAAAACAGCGAGCTCAAATAAACAACTTAATACTTAACCTTAAGCTTCTAGAAAAAGAAAAGCAGGACAAACCAAAAGCTCATACAAGGGAGGAAATTATAAAGATCAGAGCAGAAATTAATGCAATGGAGATTAAGAGAATGATATAAAAAATCAGTGAATTAAAGAGTTGGTTTTTTGAAAGAATAAATAAAATCAAGAAACCCTTAGCTGACCTTATCAAAAGAAGGAAAGAAAGGTGTTAATTTCATACAACTAGGAATGAAAAGGTTTAAGTCACAATAGATCCAGGAGAAGTCCAGAGGATCATCAATACCTACTTTGAAAACCTGTACTCTAATAAAATGGAAAACAGAAGAAATGGACAGATTCTTAGATACATATGAACTTCCAAAGTTGAACAAAGAAGATATAGAAAGTCTAAACACCCCAATTGCATTCAGTGAAATTGAAAATGTAATTAAAACATTACTAACAAAGAAAAGCCCAGGTCCTGATGAATTCTATAAGACATTTAGAGAAGAACTATCGCCACTACTCTTTTTTTTTCCTATTTTGGAACCAGGGATCAAACTCTGGACCTTGCACTTTCAAGGCAAGTGACAGAACCACTGAGCTAAATCCCCAGCCCTCACCACTACTCTTTAAACTCTTCAATGAAATTGAAAGGGAAGCAATACTTCCACATTCATTCCTGGAAGCAAGTGTTACTTTGGTTCCAAAACCAGGGAGAGACTCAGCCAAAAAAGAGAACTTCAGGCCAATCTCCCTAATGAACATAGATGCAAAAATCCTCACGGAAATACTGGCAAACAGAATACAGAGGGTCATCAAGAAGATCATACACTCTGACCAAGTCAGATTTATCCCAGGGATGCAAGCATGGTTCAACATACATGAATCAATAAATGTAATAAACTATATTAACAGAGTCAGGAACGAAAACCATATGATCATCTCAATAGATGCAGAAAGAGCAATAAAATTCAACACTCAATCATGATAAAAACCCTATAGAAAATTGGAATAGATGGTCTTTATCTCAATTTGATAAAGGCTATCTATGAAAAGCCAACAGCCAACATCATATTAAACGGTCAAAAACTGAAAACCTTCATGCAAAATCAGGAACAAGACAGGGATGGTCCACTATCTCCACTCCTGTTCAATATCATGCTGGAAACATTAGCCGCAGCAATTGGACAAGAGAAAGAAATAAAAGGAATAAACATAGGACAGGAAGAAGTTAAACTGTCACTAATTGTTAATGATATGATACTCTTCGTAGAAGACCCAGAAAACTCCACCAAAAGAATTCTAGACTTAATTGACAGGTTCAGTAGAGTAGCTGGATAAAAGGTCAACACTCAAAAATCAATAGCCTTCTTGTACACAAATAGACTCACTGAGAAAAAAAATTAGGGAAACAATCCCTTTCAGAACAGCTTCCAAAAAATGAAATACTTCAGAATCAATCTAATGAAGGAGACAAAGATCTCTACATTGAGAACTACAACACTCTGAAAAAAGAAATCAAGGAGGAAATAGGAAAATGTAAAGACATTCTTTGTTCCTGGGTAGGAAGATCCAATATAGTGAAAATGGCCATACTTCCAAAATTGCTATACAGATTCAATGCAATCCTATTAAAATTCCAACAGTATATTTCATAGAACTAGAGAAAACAATCCAAAAATTCATTTGGAATCAGAAGAGATTTAGAATAGCAAAAGCAGTCTATGCAATGGAGACATGGCAGGGGATATCACAATCCTCAACTTGAAACTATACTACAAAGCCTCTGTGATTAAAAACAGCATGCTACTAGCAAAGAAAGACTTGAGGATCAGTGGAATACATTAGAAGATGCAGAAACAACTCCAGACATATGCAGCTACCTCATCTTTTTTTTTCCTGTTTTTTTTTTTTTTTTTTTAATTTTGGTACTGGTGTTTGAACTCAGGACCTTTTACTTGCAAGGGAGGTGTGGTGTCACTGAGCTACATCCCTGGCCCTTCAATTACCTCATCTTAGACAAAGGAGCCAACCATCCTCCCTGGAGGAAAGATAGCCTCTTTAATATATGGTGATGGAAAAATTAGATTTCAATTTGACAGATAAGGATCAAAATTTATAGTTGACATTGTGTAACAAGAAGAAAAGGTCTAAAGGAGTAGGGGAAGTGGGAGGTGTAAGGGAAATGTAAGACAGGAAAAGAAAAAAAGTATGAGAAAAGGAAAAACATGGAAACAGTCTTTGTAAACAGGGAAAGGTGGAGGGGGTGAAGGGAGGGCTGGGGAATGGCAAAAAGATAAGAACCAAGATACATCGTGCAAAGGTACAAGATCCCAATGATGAATGTAACTGTATTGTATACCTAAAATGTACCAATATACTTAATGGAAATTAATTATTTAATTCACTGTGGGGGGGAAGAATTATTATGAGCCCTCCTGGATCTCTTCCTCTGTGACAGATGCTATTCTAAGGAGTTGACCTTAATTCACTCATTTGATTTACATGAGTCTAGGAGCTAAGCATTATTATTATTGTCCAATAATAAAGAGGAAATGGCAGTACCAGGCAGTTAAAACCTTGCCCGAAGTCCACATCAAGCAACCTTCACTCTCCTCCTTAAATCACTGCCCTAAACTATCTCTGCAAGCCTGGGAGACTGGAAGCCAGGGCCTGGTGCTGCCTCACTGGCAGGCTGAAAATTTGATCTAAAGCCTTTTCCAGAATCCCAGGCTCAGCGTCAGGGGTGCTGACTCTCTAGAGGCTGATGTACAAGTCAGAGTATCAGTTTAACAACTGCTGGGGTGGGCTGGACATTCCCATCTGCCTGACCCACATGTTATCACCTAGCAGCCACATGGGAACCCGCACCATCAGACAGCCTCGTGGGGAGCTGGAGATGGAACAGAAGGATGAGTTCTAAGTCTGAACTATTAACAGCCCCAGTACCCTATGTCCTGATCTGTGTGTCTCCACAGCTGTAAGACATCTCTGTTTCTGATGGCAGTGAGCGAGTAGCTCTGACTCTGGCAGGGCCTTGATGGCTGACTGGCCTCAGGCTGGCCCATTCCTCCTTTAGATTTGTTAATGATTCAATTAAGCCCTGTCTATCCGCTTGCCCTGGAAATCATGCTGTCTCTTTGAGATAGTTTTTCCTGTCCTTACCTTCCGAGGACAATAAATGGCATATTCATTGGAAAGACATTTTAATTGGAAGAGACATAGATAATAAACATATGAACTGATAATAAAGATGATAGTGATGGGTGTTAGGAGACTTTCTAGTAGGTGATGAGATTAAGTGTTGGGATGTAGACAGGATCGACAAGGAACAGCTAGCTCTCTGAGGAAGCAGAAGCCAAGCTGAGTTCTGCATATGCGGAAGGACCCAGTCTAGAGGAAGTTAGTGAGCTCTCAAAAATAAACAAAGAAAAGTTTAGTTCTCAGAGGAAACACCTCATGGCTTCATTGGAGGCAGCAGCTCATCTCACTTGGGTAGAGACCATGTAGTATCAAGTAGGTAAGTGTGGTTGTAGTAGTGGTGCTGGTATTGAGTCTGAAGTACATGGTGATCAAATGATACCTTGCATGCTTTCCAAATCAAAACTCCAAACGCATCTTCTAACACGAAGCACGAGGACTGCAATAAAATGAAATCTATGGTGAATTTTCCAGCGCATGTGATTACCATAATTAGTAGGCTCTACTGTGTTGACCTGGGCCCCTGACCCCACACTGTCGCTATGGAAAAGTCAAACAACAGGCAAGCATTGAAGAAAACAATTTGCTGTTCGGGTCCATATCTCAAATCCTCAACTAGATTACATGTTCTTGCCCCCTTGAAGTCCGAGTTTTACACATTTTTAAATCCGTCAAAGCATTTAGCAGAATGCTAGGCACATAGACCCTATGGGCTTGCCCTAGATTCCGAATCTGCCCTTGAGTTTGAGGTCTCAACCATGTTTTCACACTATTTGGAGTCCCAAGCTGAAGTTCACCCTCCCGCCGCACGGGGGCGCAATTGGAATCCTGCGCGGTGGGACAAGAGGCCGGGGCCGTCTTGGGCCGGACTCCCAGAATGCATTTTGTATCAACACGGCGGCGGGCGGTTTCGGGAGGTCTGGGCGGCTGGCAGACTGGCACGCTGCGCGAGGGCTATCAGGCGGGCCCGGCGTTGAAGAGCGATTGAAGCCATGGCGGAGTCGGCGCCTACTCGGGTAGGAGGCCTCGCGCCGGCCCGGAGGGGGTTCGGGATGGCGGCGCCGCTGCCCGGGGCGGGGCTTCATGTTGCACTCGGTCAGAGGCTCGGTTTCCCGGGCTGCGGCTGGCCAGAAGAACATCCCCCCTCCCCGTGACCCTCACACTGTCACCCTTTTCCTCTCTTGCTTCCTCCCACGTCGGGCTCAGCGCCTCGGCTCGGTGCGCCTTCGCCCAGTAACTCCTGCGAACCTTGTGTCACGTTCTTGTGGCCACCCATTTTCTCCTTCAGGTCCAAAAAGACCCCATTTCCGGGTTGGAGCAGGGGCGCCCCCGCCGAGTTCATGGGGTGGTCCGGAGACCCCGGGACTCCGCCTCTGCGACCGGTGCTTGCTGGTCTGACGCACGGCCGGTTTCTTCTGCCTCACTCTGGCTGCACATTTCTGTCCAAGAATGGCAGCCACAGGTTGAAGTCAGGCGAGGTTTCCTCTCCTTGGGGGTCCTGTGGTGTTACCCACAGTGTAGTTGCTGTCTTGTCTGCGAAGCCATGGAACGCTGTCTCCTTTTCCACCTTCTTCAGTCCCTTTTCAGGGAGAGTCTAGACCCTGGAGCTTGGTGTGAGATCTCCTCGGTATGGAGAGTCAGGTCGCAAATGAGCTCTTAGCTATCCGCTTTGGTGGTGTTAAGACACGCGTGATCATCTCTATGGGTCTCTGTTTCTTTTAAGTGTGAGTTAAGAGTGTTAGATGAGTGGGTAGATGATCTCTAAGATTCCTTCCAGCTCTGACATCCTCATAATAAAGTTACCGTTAACTTAATACGGGAGAATTTACTATGGAAAGAACAGTTGGAGCCGAATTGGTTTTAGGGCAGCTGTTTTTGATCTAGAAACACTTTCAGAATCACATAAGATCTTTTGTAAGAATAGAGGACTGAGGCGCTCCTTTACCATGAGCGGGGTGCACTGTATATGGTTGTTGCAGGAAATGGGTAAGAAGTTTAGAGAGGGATTAGTTGACTTAGCGCAGCATTTTTAAAAATTTTATTTATTTATTTATTTTGGTACCGGGGATGGAAATCGGGTCCTTTCACTTGCAAGGCAGGCACCATTGAGCTAAATCCCCACCCCACACAGCATTTGCTTTCGAGATAGTTAACAGTTAAATTGAGAAGACAAGAAACAAATATCTGCTGTATTTTCCTTTTCTGACTCCTTCAGGCTTGTGGGTCATTCCATGGTCACTTATGTCATGAACAGACTTTGGAGGCAATCCTGTAAAGATCCATCAAAATCCAAACTATGCTCTAAATAACTTGTGGATTTGTCATTGTGGAATTTACACTGTTCTTGAGCATATTTCTGTTCTCAGATATGTGGGTCTGTATCTGTAGACTGAGTAGGTGCCTGATGAAAACAACTAAAAATGTTGAGAAGAAAAACTTACATAAATATATTTGAAATGTGCAGTAATGAATACTTGAAGCCTCAAAACTAAATGAAATAGGAAACTCCTCTAAGAGGTAAGTGGAGTACTGATGCCAACTTTGAGGACATTTTCTGAGCATTAATTTTTGGTAACCTAGCAAGTAGACAATTCAGAGCTGAACGAAGGTGGAACATCAAAGAAGTACCCAATCTAAGGGTGAACTGAAAATGAACTCTTTCCTCTAGGTGATTGTGAAAAAAAAAAAAAAAAAGCAACAACAACAAAAACTTGCCTAACCTTGGCACTGAGAGATAGGTAGAGGATGGTGACCCACATTGTGGGCTTATTGCCTAGATTAATACTGCCTGAATGGTCCAAGAAACCTCTCTTGGAGTTGAAAGAAGAGCTCCCAATTGTTTTATCAGATATAAATGCAAATCTTTTCTGGAGAAATATGCATGCAACTCTCAGGCTTCAACTGATTCTCATAGATCAAGTTCTAACAAATATGAGTTTATGCCCAGGATTTAGCTCAGTGGTGTGGCTGCCTGCCTTGCAAGCATAAGGACCCGAGTTCAATCCCCGGTATTAAAAAAAAAAAAAAAAAAAAAAAAAAAACAAAAAAAAAAAGAT